GAATTTAAAGCTGGATCCGCCCCTGCATCTAACATGATAGTTTAAAATGAAATAAAATATTGAAGATAAATGCAAAACCGGTTTTATTTTGCAGTCAAAAATGTCCACTTGGACGTGGACAACTTAAACCTGATTCCCCTGTATAGCAATGGTGATTATTTTAATTCTTGACTAAGGTAAATGCGTGTAAATCGACTTAATACAGATAACAGTAAACGGACACACTGTATACTGAATGCAAATGTTAGCACAAGATAATATGGTGGCGATGACACTAAAAAAAGCTAATAATCTCTATTGAAAAACCATTTACATATCTGAAGCTTTGAATCTTTTTTGCTAAATCATTTAAAGCGAAAGTCCAATTTTTTATCGTGTTTTGCAGAATAAATCCGCTCTTCAATCTGCACTCGAGCCACATGCAATGTCAAAACTCCTCTGCCAGCAATTCCTCAACGGGCCTCAAAGCTTTCAAGAGTTGCAAAAACCAGTTCAAGCAGGATGACAAAGATTCCCTGCGATCTCACACGAACTCTAGTGAATACTCTTCCATACCCATGCGGGAAAAGACTCCGGAAATCGACTATGATGACGGCTCACTACCTAGAGAAGCTCCTGCTTCCGATTATTTTCAAGCCAATCATTACAGTCACGATCTGCCCCGGGGCCAATCAGAAAGTTCCTCATTTCTGGGAGGGCGGAAGATGCAAGTTCGCGATAAATCCACTAGTTCCGGCTATGGAGGCAGCAATGGCGGGAGCAGCGTGGATCATGGGTTCCATGAACGACTAAGACCGGTGGAAGAAGCTGGAGTGGTTCTGGACCAGAACTCGGCCTTCGTTAAGTCCATTCGAGTACGCATATTAATGAGTTCTCTATTCCGATTGTAATTTGCTGCACTCTATCTAGATCGCTGGAAGAGGGCTGAAGCCGATAAAATCAGTGCCATCGCAACATTCTTCTTCGTCGGGCGGCGGTACTTTATCAACCATCCCCGAAGGGAAAGTTGATGTACCTGTACCTCAGCCCATCTGGCCAGGTACTGTTTATCCCAGTGGATGATCAATTTTTTGAGGCATTTCGAGTCGTTTCAGGTTATCTGCCTTTGGATCACAGAAATTTGCTCAATAGCTGCGTCTACGACTCATTGGTCGATGAAGCGTTGCTTCTCTATACCAATCTGGGCCACCAACATCAACTAGCGGATCATCAAAGTGGCCTGGAGAATTATTTAGAAGTGTCAGTCGAAGATTTGTTGGTAAGCTCCAGCATCTTGATCTTCCACTCGGTTTTTTACTGCTCAGCGTCCACGAGTGCTGTTGGAATGAGGAGCCTTCAAAGGACGATTTTCCGCCGCATACTAGATGTGCTTTTCATATTAAAATAGTGTATTAAACAGAAATAAATACTCCTCACTTTTCTAGATGGATCTTTTGGCCAGTATAAACCGGACATTGAAAGGAGAGAGTGGCTGTCCAGAGGAAATGCTCAAAGTAATCAACGAAAAGATCAAACTGAAGCTGGACGCTTTGAAGAATAACACCGAGGACGAAATGCGCAGGCTTTGTGTCAATTTGAGTAACAATAGAAAAGTTAATTCAGTCATAAGGTATTAGTAAAATGTACATTTTGCTTCCAAGTTGGCTGCTTGTCGACGACTTAATGGTCTGTTAATCTGATTGTTGCAAAGTGATTTTTGATCGATTGCAGGGCCTTCAGTCACAGCTCGTCCAGCGGTCGGTCGTCTCCTAGTGGCCGAGTGCGAACATCCAGTTCTAACGACGAAGATATTTACCACATTCCATCGGGTTCTTCCAGTAGTGGATTCAGCGATAGTCCGCCTGGTCAGCGAAGAACCACCACGTTGCTGTTACCACAGCTACATGGTAAGTAGCAGTTGCTTATTTTCAGACGTTCTACTCAAATGAGGAAAAGTAGATTTCATTCCTCTTTTGCGCTATAAGTTGTTTTGGAGTAACATTTAGATTTTTGACGTTATGATGTTTGTCCGTTTAAAGGGATTTTTACACTTAAATTTTAGAGGGTGAGTTGCTCTAACTCTCATCAAGTTTTTCTTATTGTAATTCTTACTGATAGTTTGTGGTTTTCTGTAACCATCATAGTATATGAAGATTTGGTTCATTCTTAAAACACAATTTTTGTGTTACTTCTTTTGCCACCCTAAACGTTTCTTTCGAATTCTTTGATCAACATAGAAACGTGTTTGCCTCTTTGATTTTTTTCGTGTCTGCCACGGTTTTCGAGGATAAATATCAGGACCTTTATTTTTCTATGATTTTGACTATGTAATTGAAAATTTGGACACCCTGTATTTTAGGACAAAGCGTTTATATGAACTTTTTGTCTCATTTTGACTAAAAAACTTGGACTGCAAATTTTGAATCAGCCTGTATAAAGAGTAGTGTAACCAAGACGGGTGAAAGATAAACCTGAAAACAGGGTCACATTTGGAACAACACTGTAAAAAATTGAAAAATCAGACCTGTTTTCGAATACCATTTATCTGGGGATATGGAAATATAGCGTGTTGCCTTTCAAATAAATGCGCCAATAAGCAGAGAATTAGAGTTTTTCATAAATATTGCAAACTTTTTTTTAATGGGGATTTAAAGGTCTTTCAACAAGCTTTCAGAAAATGTTAAGCTATCATTTCAAACCACAAGTTTCTGCGTAAACTGGTTGAAAAGTGAGATTTTTGCAGTAATTAGCGCCATTGATTTAGAAATTCAATAACTGAGCCAACAAATTAATGCAGTTAACAGGAGCTTAGTTTCGCAAAACTGAGCATACTGAACTCTGTTGAAGGATTCAAAAGATTGTTGGAAATATTGCAAGAAGCAGGAAATGTTGCATTCAAGTACAACATGTTTAACTATTATTTTTCATATGAACAGTCCGGCCTAATTATGCAGTCACATTTCAGCTGTATGTATAAAACGCATTTTTACTTTTTCTACAGCTTGTACAGAAATATTTCGAAAATTTTGCCTTATTTTTGTTTTTATTTATTGAGCTAATGCTGGTTCCTGTTTGTAAACTTCAGCCGCAACATGACCCCATAAGAAAAAGTCAATTGGTGTCATGTGAGGTGATCTAGGTGGCCACTCGGTCGCACCACCGCGTCCAACCTTGCCGTTACCGGATTTTTGGAAACCTTCTGTATATCGAAACTAATTTTAATAATATAGGTACTGCTGAAAAATCGCATAAAACAGCCTCAAAATTACACACCAGTTAACCACAGTCTTCCACCCGGTCTTGGTTGCACCACCATGTCCACCTACAGAAAGACTCGGAGTTTTCAAGTGTTTAATTAATTTGATTACTTGCGTATTCTTTTTAGGATGGAAACCATCGATTCTGCCGTCTCGCTACTGTGAGCACGACTCTACCTTAACTAGAGGCATCAGAAACGCTCTGATCTATGGCACTCTTGGTCGACATAAAATTACGTCAATCAACCAAAGTTTATGTTGTCAGAAACCAATGAGCGAAGAAAATCAGGACAGTTTGGCTGCCCGGGAGGAAACAGTGCTTCACATGTGCGACAGCGGCGAACAGAAACAAAATTTGATGGAAAATCGTTTTTCGAGTGCCAGAAACATAGTGACCGGTTTGAAAAGTTTCAACTGTGATAGAAATGGTGGTGTGGTGAAGGGGGGCAGTTTGCCCAAGGGTGGATTGTTAAAGCATCAGGATGATCGGCCCAGTGTATGGCAACTTTACTATGGAATGAAAGCGGAAGGCAGCAAACAGTATGGGGAAGGAAAGCCTACAGATGTTCCTGTTTTTGTAAGTGCAATTTTTATATATTTTACTTCTTACATCAAACCATCAAATTTCACGTTATCATTTTGCTATACGAAATTTAATAATTTTCTTTGCGTTATCTTGAGCTTTTGACCCAATTGTTGAAAAATTTGCTGTCTTGGGTATTCAGTCTGGGAAGTGGTAAGAAACCAACGTCTCAGCTACCAAGCTTTCGACAACTTTTATTTTTGTCTTCTCCAGGGCAACAATTAATAGTTTTGATGAGCCAATGGAGCTAAGAGAGCTTGTAATATTTGTCAAATATTTAATAATTCTAACGTAAATTGTTTACTTTCCTAATTAATTCAATAGATCAAATCATGCTAATCGTTCGATCGATGCGAATCGTTTCCAATGAGATCAAATCATGTCGTTGTCAATCCGTTAATAATCGTGGTATTTGGTACGGAATTCGAAAATTTGTTGAAAATGCTATTTGTGTTAAATTGCATCATGAAGGTTTCTAAACTAAATACCAAATATTTCTTTTCTGTTTGCTGGCTTGGAAACTCTCATTGACAAATGAAGAATTTACTGCGAATTATATTGCAGTTCATTTATGTAGTCAACCATAAAACAAGTCGCAGATTTAGTGTTTGTTTTTAATTTCAGTTTGACTGTAATGCAATTCTCAACTTTTATTTTAAAATGGTTAAAGAAGACACAGTTTTCTTTTCTGTTGCTCGTCTTGTACGCTTAAAATGCATTTTCTGCTCAGGCAACAGAGCAAAGAATACCATGAGCCAGATTATTGTCTTCCCTCTTAACCATTTCTCACATGACTTTGATATTCCTCTATAACCTTCGGTTATTAGAGCAACTTTCATATCTTATTCTGCCTTAAATATTTTCTTACTTGAAAGCGACATTCAATATTTGCGGTAAATTAGAAGCCTACAACCAATAAATTTGATCAAGCGTTGCTTTTGGTCTTCGGATTAGTGAAGGAAATATTCGGTATCGGATTTGTTCGGTTAGAAATTAACCTGCCACAATCTAAACAAATGATCATGTTATGGCTATCAAACCTGCGGTAGAAAATTGGATAGCTTTTTGAATTGCATAAAGAAAAACATCTGAAAATGTTCATTCACCTGTTGATGTTAAATAGTGTGTCTTAACACCGAATTCTCACGATTCGCATCAGTTTAAATGCGTATAAATTGAATTATTTACTTAACATAACGGTCTTATAAAAAATTACCATCTGGTATAACTGGAAGGCTCAATTGATAATGTTTTTTGTTAAAGTTTCATATTTATAAGAATAAAGATCAGTTTCTGGCTGTAGGAGCTTACATAACAAAATATTTACAACTTTTAAAAATATGCAATAGAAGTTATCCACGGTTTACAACAGATGAAAGGGTTGGTTCAACAAAAGCAGAAACTTTGTGTTTTAAACACCAAAACAGCAATACTGAATACTTTGGTGATTTTTGACCTGAAATTGTACATGTTGGACTGCTATTCGAAATAGAAGGCTTGCTTTTGAAATTCGAAGAATCGCACTAATGAAACAACACAATAAACTGATCAAAAAAAATCAACGTAACAGCGATTCGATTTTTGTCTGGAGCGTTATTCAGAGCAATTATTTTTCAATTAGTGCCTGTTTGTGCGATATACTAGTGGCTTAGATAAAGTTACTGGTGGCGATTGAAACAATGTAAAATTGCTGATAGTTTCACATGCTCTCCGCTGGACAAAAATGTTTTGTATTCCAATATCACAGGCATTACGATGAAGCTAATATCTCCAAAGACGTTATTCAATTTTTTGCCCGTCCTGTTTATTTACAGCGCGGTCATTGCATAGTATCCAGGAAATCAACTTGTTTTTTCTTTTAAACCGATTTTCAAAATCTAAGGCACATGTTGAAGCTAAAACTTGAGATAAAATATATCGCTGCAAGACCAAAAAGTTGATTTTTTCAGATCACGCTGTAAATTGAAGAGATGGCGGAAAACACTTTCGTGTTGCGATTGAAAAACCCGCTTTTTTGCCCAACTGGAACATGCCAAACTTTGCAAAAAAATGTTTTATTTGCCGCCCTGTAGAAAATTTATCTAAGGTGCATAGTTTTTTCCAAAACATTGACAAACATTAAACAATGGAATGGAAAGGTTTCAAACAGAAACCAAATCGTTTGAATTACTCAGAATTCATCCACTTTATGGTAAATTTGGCTTTGCAACATTTATTTTATTGAGCAGTTTAGAAGGAAAGTTATGGGTTTCTTTGCTATAAACCAAGCGAGATTCCAGTTTGTTTCTGGTTAGAAGTCACTGTTCATGTCTTAAATTAAATCGTGTATTTTTAGTCCAAGCGCCGAAAATCTGTTGAAAAGCTGTTTGTATAATGATTTTTTAGAAAAATATGAAATACAGGGGAAATTACAAAGAAAAACATACCAGAATTGAAGAACTTCAAAACCATGTCTACTGTAAGATGATGGAGGAAAATAATAATAAATAAGGTATAGACAATAATAAATGAACACAGTACCTCTTATCATTATTCAATAAGAATGTGAATAAGTGTTTATAAGATGTGTTTTAGGATTTTTTCGTTTCTGAAATGCTTCTTAATATTTATTCTTTTAAAATACCTCTTACGTGGCTTAAAAAATAATTGCAATCAAGTGTTTCCTAGAACATTTTTCAATGCTTAAACTAAAAATGCAAGTAATAAACGTATATTTGAGAAAATGTATAATATAAACAGTTACTTCTAAGAAAAAACAGTCAAGAATCTCGCTTGGTTTAGGCCGAAGAAAATTATTTTTAGTTTAAGTTTTAATGTCTTCTTTGTATTCTTGTTATTTCGTTAGTATTAATCTCCTTTCAGTTTAGTTTTCCTAGTTGCCAATGGAATAAAATATTTGAGTCTTGCCTTGAAGATACTCGAACATTTTCCAAACCTAGTATTTCGAGGGCAGAAAAAAAGATGCTTATGTTGCCTTTTCGATGTTTAAACTAACGTGAAAATCGTGAATAATTTCTACACATACGTTTAATCTTTTTTCGTATAATTTTTTGGAAGCATTGGCAATGATACTTAAAAACAGAATCTGTATTTAGATACGCTATGAATTACATTTCTGCCGATTTTAGTGATTTAAATTTAAAACAAATTTAATGGAATATTTATTCATCTGTAAATAAAAATATCCGCCATATTAGGTTGGCTACAGCCACTCATTATGATTAAACTACGTGTTTCTGTTTTTATTTGTCCTTTCTTATTCAGTTTAATTATGCCGGATGAGTTCCAAGTTTAATTCTGAGCTGGTGAGGGCTTGGACTCAAAGTGTAAATTGCTGTGGTTTTCACTCTACGTTAATTTTCCACCGAGTCAATTTTACAACATTGAATTGGCCTACCAACAAAGCCTCGTAACTGATTGTGTCGCATTGATTATTGATTAAATGCCATAATCTATTGTCTCGCTTTCATAACAACGATTTAAAATTATAATTACTTTCTTTTAGCATTTCTTAGCGAATTGTCCAGTGACGGCCAGGTATGCAAATTTTGGAACCTCGTTTCTTTGTTGCAAAATAAAACAACTCCAACACCATAAATTATTTATAAATTTTGAGGGTCTAGAAAAGCGAAAAAAATATTCAGGATTTTCCCATACAATTAGGTAACAATTACACACTTTTTTTAAGCATTGCCAATGAACTGATTATGTATTTTTACACGCCTTATTGACGTGTTAATAATCTAGTAGTCGTTCATTGACCTACATTTGTTGATTGTTTTTTTTCGCACATTTTCTAGGTCCCACTTGATTTATTGCACTGGCATTTGCTCATAGAAAAACCAATTAATATGTTTCGTTCGACTCGCTCTTAAATGATTGTCAATCTATTCTCAGCCGAATGTTAAATAAGGAATTTGCTTGTTACGACCTTTAAACATAAAAGAAGCGCTTTATTTACTTTAGTTTGGTTGTAATTAATTTATTTCGCCAATACAGGGCGATTCAATATCGGGAGGTTCTAAAAAACCACGAAAACACATAGTAAATTCTGACGAAAAGCTGAAATACTCGGAAACATCGAAATTGGCGGTTTTGCAACAACTTATTTCACACACAGTTATCACATAACTAACTACTCAACTTGACTGTACAACATGGGTTTTAATTGTGTAGGAGAATGAATCTTATTAACAGCTTGATAATAAACAGAATTGTGCTGATGGAACAGTAAAGACGCTTTTTAAGACGATTTTAGACGGCTGTTCATGTCTGTTTCTGATGTTTGTTCAACCCGATCCTAAGCGTTGTTTATGACTATCTTCAGTATAACTGCACTTCCACTTAATCAAAAAAATGAATTTGTTGCTAATAAACATCACAGCGCGGATTCCGCTCGAATCTCGTTAAAAGATTTGACCGATGTGATCTTCCCAAGAAAGGTAAACTTTATGCCTGTCCGACATTGTTACATGTTTAAAGTTTTGAACAGCATATTAAGAAAACATCAAAAATATTCTGTAAAGCTGATATTTTTATCAACAAATTTGTGCCTCGATGCATAGTTGCTTGTGCGATTTTCCACGTGAAATTTATATAAACGTACACTTTCCAAAGAGAATCTTTGACAGCGCTTAATAAATTGCTCAATAATTATTGAACTACTTTAATATAGAGTTTAATAGCAAGATTTAAAATTAATCTTGACATTTTTTCGAGAAATCAACTTAATTTTTAAGAACATTTTCCTCCTACGGGTAGGCCCGAGTAACCTCTTAGAAGACACGATGCCAATTTTCACACTGTATTTGAGAAATGTTTTAGAATTGGATAAAATAATACTTTGGAGGAAAAGAATTAGCCGCAATATCAGCATGACATTTTGCTACGAAAAATAGAAAAACGAACTTTTGCCAAAAAAACAAAGCTTTGCAAAAACTTATCTGTTCTTGTAAATGCATGTGTTTTTAACTGTATCTTACCGGAAAAGCGTATTTTGCATATTGTTCACATTTTCAACTCTTTTCAAAATGCATGCCCAGTTTGATTTTTTTTTTAATTTTAAATTCAAAACATCGCCAATATTGCTCACTTCAAGAAGTCTATATGATTTGGAACTTTTTCAAACTATATAAGAAAATATCTCCCTTCTTCACTCTATTGCGGAAATTGTTTTATTTTTGAATGTTTACAGCAGCCTCGCTGGTTTAAAGTAACATTGAACAGATGTTCTTTGTTATGCTGATAAAGTCTGATTCGCATTTTATTTAGTAAGAATCGTTCAAGAAAGCCCACTCGAGCCTATCAAAGACAAGTGAAATTGTTGGGCAGTTACACAACGAAAACAAACTTATTAAATAATAAATTATGAACATAAAACTGTTTGCGACATTTTTTCGTCTTATCCGAATAGGATTCGTTGCTCACGATCCTTTCCGAACAGATTTAGTAAAGAGAGATTTTAATATGGCATAATATGGTCTCGGATGGACCAAAATTTAATAAGGCGTGCGAAAAACGCTTTGTTTTCATTGGGTAATGACCGTTTGTACATCGATGACATAATTTTATCACGGTTTATTCAGTTGCAGTACTATTGTTGTACATTTAACACTGCTATTAGATACGTATTATAATAGGTACAATTATTAATTTTCGATTCAGATGCTTCTGATGTCAGCCAATACAGTTTTCGAACACTTTTCCATAGAGATCTTATGTGATTGTATGTTAAAGTTGGAGAAACAAGTTGCACTAGTAAATAAGGGATGGAAATTATCACCAAAAGTTGAACAGATATTTCATTGAAGTTACGAGTTTCAACGCTCTGAGATAACATTGGTCATAAAAAGATTAAATTTTACCCAACATATTTGAATAGTTCTGAATATTGACTGTCTCGCAAATTTAACGGTTACTTTTTTCTCAATCGGTAACTTCAACAATTTATTATCGAATCGTAGATCAATTCCTGTGCAAAATTCATGTTATAAGATATTATAACATGAAAAAATCTAAAATACATCTTATAAAGGGAATTTAGATGGTGTTATGTAAAGTGGAATTTTTTTGTCGGGAAATATCAGGTAGATGTAGATGTCTTCTGAGTAATTTGGATCTTGAGTGCTGTGTTTATCTTCAGCCATTCGATAGATATAATATATTTTTGACCGGCCAGATTCTCCGAACAAAATTTATTTAAACATTTTTGTATTCTGAAGGAGACCGTTTTTGCGGCTCAAGCTTGACTCGTCAATCTGGACGGACCGTTAGGAAAGCTAAAATGTTAAGAACTTAATTGACAAAGCACGGAAAGTGACCAAATAAACCGAGTTATTAACTTAAAGTAAAATGTTGTTCGCACAGTCTTTTGTCAGAAAAATTCTTCGCCAATTACAAAATTTTGCCCGGAAAACGGCAAATTTGATCAGTCATAAAACATTAATGTTTCCCAAATTACTCAGAATAAACGAGACTATAACATCGTATATAAATATAAATGTGTTGCCCGCAGAAAGATTTAAACTTTGGCCAGAGCTTTGCCCAAGAAAATGTGACAGTATATAAACACTCTCTACAATATGTTTGTTTCGCTTCTTTTGCCGATCTTATAACTTAAATGTTGTACAGAAACGCGATGTGCGTCGATGAAAAATTGTCCCAATCGAATCAACGACAAAAATTTACAGTCAGAAGAGGGAATATTTAAGCTATGCGTTAAATTTCTGGTGCAGTTTATTACATTTTTTGTGGGGCAGTGTTCTGGTTACTTTGAAACGAAAATTTGAAATGTTCGTAGTTAATAATAAATCTAAATAATAAAAGCAAGTCAGTGACTGAATTAGTATAAGAAAATTGGACACAGTCATCAACATTTCAGCTTAAATCCTTAAATGCCAGTGGCGATGTTGGCGTACATTTTCTCCTTGCAATCCGTTGGCGAACAACAATTTAGCAACAACACAAAACACACGTAATTACTCTAAATAAGACGCGTACACACCTGTCCTAAATTAACCACTTACATAAAAAAAATCCCACCATATACCACTGCAATGTGTGAACTAGTTACCCAGATAACCCGACCAAAAATATCAACTGGTTCCAAACCATTTCTAATGCCCCAAAGACAAAAAAAATTGACTCGCATTGGGCAATTCACTTTTACCCGTCGACTACGATGCCGCTAAATGATCAAAACAAATGACGTTGTGACACCATTTCTACCGCACCCTGTACATTTGTGAACCATAAATCAGACAGGGGCTTATATAAATGCTTAATTGAAGTCGCAGTGATTTAAATTTAAAAGCCGAAAAGGACAGTTTTGAACAAGTAAGTACAAGCTTTGAAATAAATATTGTCAAATTACTGTAACTGGCAGTGAAATGGTAAAACAAAACTATTAAATGAGAAAATTGCCCTAACAAGCTTTAAAAGTCACCAAATTCTATCGTTTATATCTTCATCATCAGTTAACTAAGTAGATCTTTAAGCGACTCCTTTTCGTGAAAAGATACATTATCGTCTCCCACAAGTCTGCAAATATTACCAGTCAATGAAAATCGAAAGTTCCACTTTCGAATGTTTTCCATTTCGCTCATTGTTTTTCGGACATTCAGAAAAGTAGGCAAGTAGGCCAATTTTAATCAATGAAAGTAAATATGCTCATTTTTGCACAATGTTCTTTGTTAAGGTTAACGTTAGGCCAATTTTGGCTCGTTTTTCTCTACAGCCATCCATCAGTTCTTGGTCTGAAAGCACGAGCTTCTTCAATGGCATGCATCTTCGATCATAATTGCTGGATTGGTTGATTGCGAACCTCTTAGCGTTAACGAGGTTGCAATGGCGAAAACTCCGATGAAATATTTGCTCATTACTGACAGAGTTCATTACGACATACGGTTTACTTTAAATATCGTAGAATAACCTGAATGTGAGGTAAAAATTTAGTCTCGTGACAAACTGCAGGTATTTTGCATACAAACCGCCACGTTACTACTTAACATGTGTTCATTCTTTCATGCGTAATGTTGATATTATTTAACCAAGTCGCTTATGGCCATTAAATCGATAAAGCGTTTGTTTATTGATAATAAAATCAGAAGGTTACATGTTGCAAAATCGACAAAGTCTCAAGATGGTGTTCTATATTTCTTTTAGTCAATGAACGTGCAATTTCCACGCATCGTTTCTGAAAAATTGTTAAAATACAACGTCAATAAAACCAAATAGCTTTTGAAATACATCGGTAACAGAAGTAGAGTGGGAAACAATCGAATAGTATAAAATAAACCAGTTTACATATCTGGGAACAGAGAAACGAATGGAATAAAGGAAGGTTGAAGCAAGGGCGAAAATGGTTCTTGAGAAACTTCGAAGAAAGCAGTGTCATGTTTGAGTCGATTCGGCAACTCAAAAAAAAACACGCAAATCTCTAACTTCCTAAAATCAAGACTTTTCCTTATCGATGGTTCGATCCAAAATGAGGGTTCTTGCTCTTTTTGCTTTCTAAAAAGGTCATTTAGTTCTCTCTCGAATGATGTAAAAATGAGGCTTCTTGCTCTTTTTTCTCCCGAGAAATGTGCAAAAGCGGAACGCAAAACATGAAATTTTGGCATAATCT